GGGGGGTGTCACACATAGGGCTCCCCTAAACTGCATACCTCTCTACCCCTCATGCCTGCCCAGCCACATGTAGGGCTCAGCTTCAATCACCCACCCCTGCCAACCCAGCCACCACCTGCCCAGCCCAGCCCAGGCTGCTAGTGCCTCCCTGCCATCGCTTACCTGCTTGCGCTGCTCCAGCAGGGTCTCCAGCCTGTTGGCGGCCCGGCAGCCAGGCCCCTTGCCCTGTTCAGCGTCGTATTGCCGCTGGTTGTTCTCCTCGTGCAGGCTCACGCCCAGAGCCACGTTCACCAGAGCCGTCATCAGCTTCATGGCTGGGGAGGAGCAGGGAACAGGAGCACTCCTGGGGCCTGAGCAGAGGTCGCTGAGGAGGGGAACCCAAGCATTCAGCTCCCAGCGGGGTAAGGGACTCACCTGCCAGGGTGCTGGTGTGGCGGAAAGCCCGCACCTGGGAGTCGGAGAGGCCAGTGAGCAAGGAGACAAGGGTATCGGCCAGAAACTCATCGTAGAGGACACTATACTGGCAGCGCCGCACCAGTGTCGCCACCAGCTCACAGAGGCCTTCTCGGAATCGGCGCCAGGGCTGTGTACTCAGTGCCAGTGGGTACTCGGCCGAGTCCTGCAGGAGCCACGGGTCAGACATGGAGCAAGGAGATACCTCCCGCCCAGGCCCAAGGCAGAGGCCTTGCCATGAGACTCCCCCCACCATTTGCCCAGCACCTCAGCAAACTGCTCCGTCAGCTGCTGGATGATCTCTGAGTTCTGCAGCTTCCTGAACATCTCAGAGGTCACCACACCTGCAGGGGGGCAGAGGTGAGAGGAGGCAGTGTTGGCAGGCCAGGCCCCTGGCACTCATGGGGGGAGCCCTCAGAGCTTCAGCTGGAAGCTGGGCCACGAGAGCACCCACCTTTACAGCCGCAGGCACGTATGAAAAAGTTGGCCAGCTCCAGGAAGCCGGTCTCGCGGTCCTGCTTGTAGGTCTCCAGCCACTCATCAACCACGACCTGAGGGAACAAGTCGTGCCCCAGGAGAAGGAGTTATGCAGGAGCTGGGTACCCACAGCCCAACATCAGTCTAGCAGTAGAGCCCAGGTGTGCTGGCTCCCAGCTCCCCAGGCCCCATTGCCCCAGGCATCCTGGCTTCCCATCCCCTTGTGCTCTCACCCACTCCCCTCTGCCACGCTGGGATGCAACCCAGGCCCCTGACAATGCCCCAGGACAGTGCAGAGGTACCTCCAACGCAGTCTTTCCAGACCTCACTGCCTCAAAGAGCTGGTTGGGCTCAGGACTGCGGGCAGGCGATGTGTCCCTGGCTGGCAGCTGGCTGCCGGCTCTTCTTCGGGGTCGCTTGGCCACCTGGTGGGACGTGGGGGGCAAAGGGAGGCAGCTCAGGCTACTGGTCCCAGGATAAGGCGTCTGCGTGGGAAGGGGACCATGGCGGGGGCCTACCTGGCCTTGGCTCGGGGGGGTCCTGGCCACCCGCTTGCTGCTTTTCCACAGCATTACCTCGAAGTCACTGCCCGAGTCGGGGCTGGAGCTGCCCTCCTCACTGCTTGGGGCCCTGGAGGGAGCACGTGGCTCTTCAGCCTTGTGGCCCCTTATTCCACTCAGGCCTGGGGGCAATATGACCCAGTGCCCGGGGAGGGCTGTCCCAATCATCCACCATCCCTTCCAAGGCGCCCATCATCTGTCTGCCCCACAACCTGAGGCTCCCACACCATGCCCAGCCCTGGGCCTCCCCAACTCACTTCTAAAACCCTGTTACATGCCCAGCCCTGGGCCTCCCCAACTCACTTGGAAAACCCTGTTCCCTCCCCCCGAGGGGCTGAGGCCTTTCCAGCATGGCCCCCTGCCCCCAGGACTGCCAAGCCTCCTGGACAGCCCCACTCACAGGCCGCTCAGGTCCATCTCTGCGTCACCCTGCTCCGTGGCGGGGCTGGAGCTGCTCCCGGCGCCCCACGCAGACGGGGAGCGGGAGCTGGAGCTGGAGGCGCAAGCCCGGGTGGGTCTGCGCAGCCGCATGGCGGAGGCGAGGCGTCAAGCGGGCCGCAGGCTGGGGAGAGCGACGGGGAACCTGCCGCACCCGAGGAGCCGCCCGCGCGCGCCCGCCCCCGCCCA